CAGTCTCCATGATCAAATGATAAGTCCTTATGCCTTCAATTGAAGCCTTCATACGATTTCCCATGATCAAGAAATCCTTATTTGGATTTGTAGTTTGGATCGTAAGGAATCCATGCAACGTAGTAGATACATGAGCAGTTGCACCAGAATCAAGCCACCAAGTATTATTAGGAACTTCTACTAAATTTGATTCGAAACATACAAAAGCACTAATTGTACCTTTCTTTTCGAACCAAGCTTTACGTTTCAGGCAATCTTTCTGATAGTGTCCTTCCTTGTTACAGAAACGACACGTATCTGCCTTATGTTCCTTATTAGCATCCTGTTGATCTTTAGCATGTGCTTTCTTCTTCTTGAACTTGTTGGCATTCACTTTAAGTCCTTTACCAGCTCCTTGACCCATGAGGTTAATTGGATGACTCCCTTGTTTCTTAAGTCTAGACTCTTCCTGAATAAGCGTACTAGACAATTCACTAACATTCCACTTATCCTTAATAGTATTATAGTTAATTTGAAAAGGTCCATAATCAGGAGGCAATGAGTTCAGAATAAACTGAACCAAGAAGGAATCATCCATTTTCATCCCCAAGGTCTGAAGTCTTGCTGTAATGTTAGTCATCTCGATTATATAGTTTTGCATACTACACGACCCATCAAACTTCATGGTCGTGAGTTCAGCCATTAGTGTACCAGCGAGAGACTTATCTGCAGAACGAAAACGTTCTTCCACAAACTTCAGGTATTCCCTAGCACTTTCTATTTGTGGAATAGTACTCTTAATGTTGTTGGCAATATTTATTCGCATAAACATAAGGCTTAGCTTGTTAGAGCGTTCCCATACTTTATGGAAGGACATCTCATCCGCATTGCTCGAATCAGTAATGGCAGCGGGCTTATCATTCAGCAGAGCCAAGTCAAGATCCATCACACCTAAGTGGAACTGGACTTGTTCACGCCATTCAGAGAAGTTCAATCCGTTGAACACAGTAACAGATGAAGCATGCGAATGAAAAGGAATAGCTGCAAAATAATACATGCTCACAAATAAATATGGATTCAACAAAACAGTTAAAGCATATCGCAATTCTCCTTTGGGTAAATACTATGACACACTATCATAATTTAAATGTCATTTAGTCTTTAATATGTAATTAAATATTTTTAACCAATTATATATGCCATCTTTAGACAGTCAATATATATTTGACTAAAGAATACTAATTTTACTTCATTATATTCACTATTCATAGAATAATCGATTTACCTTCGGGTAAATCCTTAAGTTCTAGTAATAGTAAAATTAATTTATCCACTAATTTTTAATTATTGGCATTTCATTAATTCTATGGATAAATTATAATTTTTATGTATGCATGTTTTTTTTATAAACATACTAGCTTAGCCACTTTGGTGACTAACAAACTATATAAATATAAATGCACACATAAAATAATTATCAAAAGATTATATGCATGTGAATACTTTAAACACTATAGTTTGATCACTTTGGTGACTAACAAACTATATGTAACTTTAAAAGCATATACATTACTCACTGCAGAATATAATATAAAAACCATATCACAATCAATTCAGTGGGGAATTTACGTGCAATTATTGTAAGGTGTATGCATTCCAGAAACCTAGCGGATGAGGTTTTTTTTTTTTAAGGTCCTAAAATAATTTTTAACAGTACCAATAACTTTACTTTATGGCCTAGGAAGATCTTTTCCATCTATAGCCCAAATCTTAAACAAAATATAAGCATTCATTAAAATTAGTTAGCCAGAAATTGATTAAGGAAATAATTAAGGACAGATACGTCTTCTTTAATCCTTAAACAGTCAGCAATCACAACCACACTAAACCTAAATTCCAGTACCCATATCTTTCTCGAAACTACAGAAGTAAGAAACAAGCACAAAATCTCACTATCCAAAGCGCTTTACTCTTAATTGTTTGATGGGATTAATGAGTATTTGCGGACCACATATCAGTATATCACTAGACAATTTTATGCATTTAGTTGTGGAAGAATCTTCAAGGAGAATCTTTTTAGAGAAACCTACTAAAACTTTACTGTTCTCATTGACATGGAGGATTAGGTTCTTTGTTGAAAATACTTTATCGACCAAAATCATGGCGACTTAATTGTACAATAAATGAAAACTATCAGTTCAAATAATCTAGGCCCGTGATACCACATGTAAGCATAAACTTTAATTCATATCAGGATCTTGAACATGATAATCTTACATATAATCGATATAGAAAACATGCCTGAAGCAGAGTCCATTATCGTGAAGCGGAAGCGTTAATCGGTAAATTGGTTTCTCGCTCTTTGCCCTAACTTTACGTTACCGCCGCCTTTAGTGATGGAAGAAACAAATATAATACGGTAACCCTAATGGATGGGGAGAGGACCAATTTATAGAAATTCTCACTTAATATGGTACGCCCATCAAGTAATCAATCGGACATATGAGATTTGATAATTAATTAAATATTAATTATGGGTCTTAAACCTATTGGGCCACATACACGTAAGAAAATAACTTACGCCCGAAAATTTTGAGAGTTGGTGTATGCTTGTGGACAATGCATGTACGAGTCTCCAAAGCCAACAAGTAATGTATCGGGCGACTAGAGCAAGTCAAGGGCATCGACATTATTGTTTACCTCAAAAATGGTAATTACAATTAAATTTGATTTTGTGGTTCTAAAAATATGTGATTTATTTTTATACAAGTTGTTAGGCAATAGATGTTAAGTGTGAGTTAGGAAAGTAAAGTAAAAGTAAAGAGCAACGTTATTATCCAAACCAAACAGTAGTGGATCTAGGTCTCGGGCTGGCTTAAGCAGGGCATCGGGGTCGAGCTAAATGCTTGACTGGGGCCGATCGATGGGGGACTAACAGTCCTAAGAGCCTTGATGGTGGCTCTTTATGATCAATGATGAGTAAAAATGAAGAACGATCAATGAAACGGAATAAACATAAGCAATAAATCAAAGGAAAAACAATAGAGAATATTTAAGTTAGAGAGCAGAGAATGTTCTTGTTCCTGTATTGAATATCACGTGTGCAAAAAAATAACAAGGGTCCCCTTTATATAGGAAGGGAATCCCAACATAGTACATATGCATTTATTACAAAGGTATGCGGCTGGTACAGCCATTTAATGCCATGGTACGGGCTTGTACTATTCTTATGGACTTGGTCAGCTCTAACCACTCGCCTTGGGAATCTCCCACTCGTTCATCATAGTCACCGATTTGTACTTCCTCGAAGTCGAGCTGTGCCTCTAGCCCTCTGGCAACGAGCTATGGAATGCCATGATGATCCCAAAATCGGACTCTCCGATTCTAGTCGTATACAATTATGCTGAAAATCTTCGCCAGCCGAACTTTTATATTTTTTCTAGCAGTATACATAAATTATACACATATTACACATAGACTATACATATATTATGCGTCTACCGGCTATTTTTAATTTAAGCCTTCAAGTAGACGGCTATTTAGGTTAATTCTTCAACAACGGAACAAAGTTGTATTAACTTGTGTTGCAAATCGAGTTGTCTGGGGTATATGAACTAGTTGAGTGGATGGTAAAGTGCAATAGCAGCTCTTGTTGTTCTCTTATATTTGGTTGGATAAGCAACTGCCTCCTTAACTATTTTTAGAAGCAAAGATACCAGATAGTAAAGGGTTTAGATGCTTACTAGGAAGTAGACAATATCAAATATCTAAAGCGGTTTGAATAAAATATGCCTTTTTTTGTGTGGTAGTTTTCTCAGATGTGGTGAAAAGAATGTTCTGAGTGGCAATTCTGGTAACTAGGGTTAGTTCATAAAAATCTGAAAAGCGATACAAACCGACAAAAAAATCGATACTTTTTAGGTTTGGTTTAGTTTTGTTTTGAATTTTAAAAACCGATCAAATTTGGTTTGATTTTGGTTTTAATCAAAAAATAACCGAAAAAAACGAACCAAACCGACTATAGAAGTAGCTATTTAAATTTATTATTACATCTATATATATGTGTATTTTTATATAAAGTTTCTAAAATTTTTGGTACATATTAGTCATTTATATTTTTAGTCTAGTTCTTTGCTATTATAATAATTTAATTCTTTGTTTTTATATTCTAGTTTGATTGGTATTAAATTATTCAATCACTATTTGATTTAATTATCATCAGTATATCTTGGTAAATGATAGATTTCTCAAAGAGCAATTGATTTGATAGTGTTATGTTGAAAATGTACTCGCCGGAATATGTGTTTGGTAGCGTATGTCTCATATTTAAAAAAAAATCGATAAATAACCAAAAAACTTGAAAACTGACAAAAACCAAATCGATAAAAAACCGACTTAATTGATTTGGTTTGGTTTCAATATTTGATGAACCGACTTACTTGGTTTGGTTTTTTTGTTAGGGAAAAACCGATCCAAACCGAACTACAAACACCCCTACTGGTAACCCAGGAATAATCTCAGGTAAAGAAGAAAACCAAAACTGCTAAAGGAAAAGAAAACAATGGAGAAATATGGCAAGAGCTGGGACCCATTCCAGGAAAAATAGCCACCCAACGTTTGTATCACAGCAATGAATACATGACAAGTTATATGTGTAACTTTCTTCTGCTAACCATGTTAAATTAATAGGTAGTACAACATTTTAATTTATTACATCGGATTTAAAAATTTGGTGTGGACAAATTTTACCTTTCCCTCTTACTTTTCTCTAGGAACTAAAAGGGAGGAAAACGTTCAATGATGTAGTGGGTTCAATTCTCATCGTCCCCCTTTTCCCTTCCATTCTGTAATAGAAAAAAAAATTAAAAATAGAAGAAATTGTTTCCATTTTTTGTCTACTAACACCGTTTATTTAATTGTATGACGTATGGTTTTGCTAAAACTTAAAAGGTAAAGCATGAGTATCCCTCTCCAGGAAATTTTTTAAGGAAAAAAAAAAAAGAAATGGCTTTCCATGGATGAGATCCAATACTAAACCGGTGACATCACTTAATAGCCAATGGGGAAAGGGTTTACACCAAATATGAGTTAGTAACATAGAACCGAAGGTGGATAGGATAACCTGTTAGAGCTAGTAAAATATAGTACTGAAAATGTAAAAGAACTTCACTGCCCAAAAAACTAGTAAGGCTTATGATTAGTAATACGAAATATTTATCACTGAGCATAGGCATGAGACTAAAACCTACAGGATCAGCGATCAGACGTTACAACTGCAAAAAAGAGTAGCTATTCACACACCTCAGTCTTTATTAGCATCAACAAAGAGGACGAGTTTCCCTACTTTCCATTTTTTTTCCTTCTTTGTTCCCCCTTTGCCCTTTACCATACAACTGTTTCTTCAAGTTTGGAGTACAAGTGTTGTGCTCCCAAGAAAACCCTCCATGAAGTTAACTATTAGACTGGACATATTTCTTGTAAGCTGAGAAGAGAAGTGCAAGTTAGAGTTGATTGTTCACAACAGTAGGTAAACGATGCAAGAAACACCTACCTTCTTCCCAAGCACTCGATGATATCACCAGTGAGCGTAGACCTTTTCTTACTCTCAAATGCCAAAGCTGCTGCCTTCCTCAGTAAAGCAGATCCGGCGACACATCCTAATATGGTTGGATTCATGCTAACCTCCCCTTTAGCCGCACACTGGCGGGCCCAGGATAGGAACACTGCAACACTGCAGATATATGTACGTGTCAAGATTCAGTAACAGAGTTGTATAGGAGAGAGTAAACAGGGGATGCAAGTTATAGTTAATCAGCACTGTGAACTTGCATTTTACTAATGAAAATAAGTATTGAGTTCACTTTTTTTATACACTGACAACCAAAATAATTTTTGTACTATCTCCTCACTTAAAAGCTGTTCTTTTTGGCATAATTGTTTGTAGTTCTTCTCCTTAAAAGACGGTCCTTGAGGAGTCTGGAATCGGCCTATGTTGGAGTTATATCCGTCTATAATAAGTGCAGACTAGTAACTTGGAAAATAAGGTAAATAACCTGTCACAACTAAAAACACACAATACTTAAAATGATAATCCATATGCTTGCTAAAAATGTAGTTACCTTCCAGACAGTATGTCACCCTGCCCACCACAGCGCCGTGGAGAACCATAAATACTCACTGCACAAGCTGCATATCCCAGTTCGTTTGTTAGCTCATGATAACTTCCAAATCTATAGAAGTAGTCATTCCAGACTTGCTCCTCTGGAACTCATCATTTTACGAGTATATCATTAAGATAATCATAGACACACCTGCTGATGTTGTACATCTTTTCCAATAGTAACTTAGGACTTGAAAGATGCATCTAAGCAGTTGATGTATTTTGGAGGCACCATTTATACATGCAATACATCAATTATACCCATTCCGTCAAACTAGATTTAAAAAAGTGAAAATTTAGCCAAAATCCTTTTCACTATTGGGAACTCCAAGATTGGTAGTTTGCTCATGAATTCCTCAATAAATAAATCACAGTAAATGGTGCACCATCCTCCATAAACAAAACTAGTACGGCAAGGTGCAGATAATGACCCATCGAATAGGTATAGAGCACAGTACAAGATGCAATTTCCTTCATAAGAAGATGTAGTTTACAAATAAGCCATAAGCACTAGAAGCAGAATAATAGATAGGTAACAACTTGACATCAAACTCAAGCCACTATTGAAGGAAACTTTTACAGGATTTTCTCATAATAACCTCATTAAACAGCATCCATCCTTGAAACTTATATTGGTCCTGTTGAAATTTTGTTGTTGAAATTTTGTTGCTTTCAGTTACTGCAGTAACTTTTTTAGCATAATAAGTTAGCTTAGTTTTAGGATAAATCTACTTTTTTGAATTCAAATTTCAGTTAGATTTTTTAGGTTTATTGAGAGACTTTTTCAATCAATACTTTTAATCATTTTGCTGTCCCATCTTTTAAAAAACCAACAGTGGTATCAAGAGCTTCATTGGTCTTACGGGATCTGTGAGTTCTTCCAAAGAACTATTTTCAAATCATTTTTAACCAATATCAATTTTTAAACTCATTTTCAAACATGGCAAGCAGCAGTCTCTCTTTGAATGCCCCACAAACTTTCACTGGTGAAAACTATCAGATTTGCTCAATGAAAATAAAAGCATATCTTAAAACCTATGATTTTTTGAATGTTGTAATGGAAGAACAATCCTTACGAGCAATCCATGAAAATCCTATCATTGTCCGGAATCAAATACTTTCAAAAGAGATTTCAGATAAGATAAGGTCACTACGGGTGTTTTTTATGCACAAAACCATAAGACGGAAAAGAAAGAAGAAAAGAAGAAAAAGAACTGCACTACAAAAGTGTGCAATTTCAGCGATGCCCAAAACAATCCTCAAGGACAAACAACAGAAGCAAGAATTGAGGAGGAACAACTTTTTAAATAGCAGCAACTGAAGCAAAAGATAAGTGTTGAAATTTTTGTTGCTTTCAGTTACTGCAGTAACTTTTTTAGCATAATAAGTTAGCTTAGTTTTAGGATAAATCTACTTTTTTAATTCAAATTTCAGTTAGATTTTTTAGGTTTATTGAGAGACTTTTTCAATCAATACTTTTAATCTTTTTGCTGCCCCATCTTTTAAAAAACCAATAGGTCCCTGAGTTCATTCTCTTCTCTGAATTTCCTCAACTCCCTAGCCATCTTTTTCTTTTCTTTTTTTTGGTGGGGGGTTGTTTAAACAACACACAACACAATTAGGCTAAATTAGAAAGGCTGTCTTAAGTACAAGTATTTTTAACATAATCTCGTAGAAGAGAACCTGGGGCCTAACAAATGTATTCCAACCTTATAGTTAAATGTCCTTCCCTAGAATCTAAGTCACTTTAGCAAGTAATGGAAGAACTTCAGTTGTTTCTAATCTGATGCATCATTATAAATCAGAATGAAGAAGAAATATCTAATACCACTGAAACTCTAAGAAAAATATGCATCCATTTACTGAGAATCAGTTTATTAGCATGTAGGAGCAGTCACTTTCACATTAAAGATTCAGATTTACAGCTTGAAAGTCCCTACAAAATCTCAGTCCTACATGGTCATTATCCTCATATTAGGTTATAAAGTCTCAGAGCTAAGTAGAAAATAGACTAGATATTCTCCTTCGAAGAAATATGAAAAGCAGGAGTCCCAACTTTCTGCGCATCACTAAAATATGCAGGTGGAACTCATACCCGAAGCACAAAAGGCTTGTTCATCAATCAGCAAATTATTGATCTATGGAATCTAAATGATTGAGTTATATGTAAAAGGGCCATTGACAAAGCAAAACTGTTACCTGTTTTACCATCACTGATGAAGTCAGATTTTCCTTTCCGCAAGATTGTAACAGCACCAATCCTGATCACAAAAATATTTTACCTATTACAATACTAATAATAAATTAATAAAAGTAATATATTCAATGACATGAATGTTGACCGCTATAAACTGGCCACCAAGTTATACAAACATCCTCACAAATTGGGTCCAAACTAGAGGAAAAAACTGTAGTGGTTGCGAGCCTCTCAAGGATGTTCCTATAAATCCAAATTGCTTTACCTTTTTTGATAACCGAGAAATCCTTGAGCGCCAGTGGCGCACGGTTCGAAACTCGGTGGATAATGGGTCCGCCCCTCTACCCTTGTCCACTTATATAGCAGGTTTTTGATTGCGACAGCGTCCAAACCCATGACGTGCGCCTAACCCACGTATCAGCTTCTCCGCTCTTACCACTAGATCAAAATCCTGGAGGCCCGGATGGCTTTACTTTTTGAGACTCCACTATACTCCATTACACGTGCAAAGTCAGCAACCATCTAGCAGGAAATATCAAGACTTCATTTTCATAAGAAAAATCTCAGGCTTTCTATAACCCAGTGTCTTTTCCCTGGGGATAATGGTATTTCAGGACCGACTTATGTACAACTCAACTAATCCACTAGACAGAAAACAACAACCTGCAAGCACAAGTTCCTCTTACCCTGCCACCTAACTGAAGCAGATGAGCTTTTTTTTTATAAGGCAAAGTATTTATTAATAAAAAGTGTACCAACAGGAGCAGACAGCACCTACAGAGAGCACCCTATCCTAAATGTTGTAGTTTGTATTTGAACCTGGAATCTCCGAGTTGTTACTCTTATTTCTCAAAAACCGCCATACCCTTGTGAACAAACCCCATAACGATATGATATATATATATATATATATACACACACACACACACACACACACACACACACACACCAACTTAAAAGAAAGCTACTAGGATGCTCGAGGGGAAAATCTGCGAAGGACCTACTAAACATATGATGTCCACTTTTGCATTCTAAAGGAGTTGAAACTTTGTAAGGTAAAAAGTAGGTCTTGACATGCAGCTTTTAACATATCACCGTGACTTTGAAGAAACAGAACTATTGGCAGACTGTTCTTTGATCATGTAACTTTGGACATCTACTCAATCATTTTAAATGGACAAACCGCAGGCAAAGATGGGATATGGATTAAAAGACTCACCCTTTTGCAAGAGACAGCAACTGATCGGTTCCATTTTGGTCATTTACCTCAGAATTTAGTACTTTCTGAACAAGCCTTTTATACTCATTCACATTTGGTGTCAGCACTGCTAAGGGATAACCACTAACCAGATCAAGACAATTAGTCACGAGATAAAGCCCATCCTGATAAAACAAAGAAGACCAGAGGATGGCGTATCAAGAGAATAATGTCATATGGAATATCAGAGAACTGGCTGGCAATATAACAATGCCATCACATACCCCATCTATAACCATTGGAACATTGCACTCTCTTGCATGCTTCATGATATTACTAACACAGTCCTGGAAGAATAAACATGCGATCAAATCCAATTGTACCAAAATTGCCCACAAAAGAAGGTGAAGGCATAAAAGAGGAGAGAAAAGAAATTTTCTGCACGTATATTTCCAGATAATGCAAGAAAATTCTGAAATGGTACTTCCTGGTAGAATTAATAGTATCATTCTAGGTGGCCCAATTTTTCTTGGCAGCATAAAAGCTTAGAAGTGGTGAGTTTACTCTTAAAACTGAATCGAGTGTGCTCAGTACAAATGAGATGAATTTAGATCACAAGCATGTTCTGAGTTCTGACCACAAGAACCAAACAAATTCTGAGGCTTTATATAGTTGCTCCACTCTCATGCTCAATGCTAATCATCTTTGTTTCAGGACATATTACATAAAACTGATATCTTGTATGTTTCTAGAATTCCAACTTGTCACGATCATACGCTCTACCCTTCACATCACTGGACCCACAAAGTTACACAGATTTTCAAAATTTTACCTTGCAATAATATTTCTTCAAGGAAAACAACGAATTGAAACAAACCAGATCATTTTACAGAAGATATGCAATTGCTTTTTCAAGGAAGAGTTATTCATATCGCTAAAGAAAAGGATAGGTATTAGCCAGATCGATATTTTCCTCATACACAGAAGACCAGAATCCCCTAGGATGACAGTGTCGCCAAAAATTTGCCTTTAGCTAGATGAACACAAAGATAGACACGTCACGGAGATGAATTTTACTAGTTTTTCTTTACGTGGAAAAATAAAGATAGAGAGCCATATATGCAGCAGAAAGGCAGATACTTAGGCAGAGTCAGAGATAAGGATTAAGCATACTCGAGGATCATGATGTTTGGCCAGAGCAACTGAGTAGCGTTGGTCCTACTTAGCAGCATTTGACAGCAAATAACATTAAACTAAATACAAACCTGCCCAAAATTATGGGAAAAAGAAGTGATCTCTTTGCTAGAGTGATTAAAACAAAGCACTTGCGGCTACTGAATAGTATGAGCAGACAAACATCCCGTGTAAAGACAGAAGGGCCCGAGTAAAAAGAGCATACCAGGAGAAACGGATCCCTTCCAAGGCCTGGACCAACAACAAGACAATCAAACCTCTCCATCCACTTCTCAACCTCAGCAATCACTTTAGCTGATATCAAACTTTTCTCCTCGCCCCTGGAAGAATCCATTGGTTAGAGTCAGCACCCTCAAAATTTAATTTATGATGCTTCAATAATGGGATGTGCACCTAAAACTGGAGTTGAACTTCTTTAACAAAGACTCACCTAATACTGTAGGACTCTTCTAGAATAGGGTGCACAATTAACTCAGGACTGTAGCTTTTTATAACAGGAGCAGCATCTTTAGTACAGAATACATGAGATAAATCTGCACCCTGTCAGAACAGGCTAATACCCGTCATAAAAGGTCTCAGCTATAATTGCAATTAAATTGTAGTAAAATTAAAAAAATTGATACTGAAAAGGATGGTTTAATTTCCCTGGGGTGGCGGGGAGGACGAGAGAGAATTGAGGAAGAGTAAAAAAGCCAGATGATAGAACTAACAATCTTTAAGGCTGAAATGGCAGAGAAGTATGGTGCACCAGTGTATTCTCGACAGCCACCAACAACAGCTATCTTCCCTGATCGGGAAATAGAGCTCAGAAAATTAGCAACAAGAAGTACCATAAAGGGATCATCACAATAGGCAGAAACTTTTAGATTTTTGGTAAAGCTCAATGGTCAAAGTCATCACTTCTTTCCCGTTAGAAATGTCAATACTCAGAAAGTTTTCAAACAAATAAAAAAGAAAAACATAAGCGACACAGTTCAGCTCTGATGGACACTGCATAAGCCATACTAGTTTCTGTTAATCGTATCTTCTCTGGTGTTTCCAAACATCAAAAGTCATACAATTATAAATAGGTGTACAACATATAAAGTGCCCACCCTTCTTTATCCCTAAAGGTAGTGGGAGGGAAAAAGTGAGAATAGTACAGAAGAATAGTACATCTTGATGAACAAAGATCAGCTAAAACGGATTATCAATGAAATTTGTCTGATAAAATAGACAGATATTTATGTTCAAACTCATGCTGCAAATATTAAAAACTCAATAAATTTTCCGTTATTACACTAGCTGAGATCAAAAATTTATTTTCCCATTTCCATAAAGGAACTGAGGCATAAACGGTACAACTGAAGGCCCAAGGCATTGTCTCAAACCTCCAGTTGTTGCAGAGGTAAAGACTTTAATTTCATCAAAACAAACAGGTGCAATACAACTTACCTCAAGCAGAGATCAAAATTGGATATTTAAGATTAGATGAAATTCATTATATAGCAAAAATACATTTATAAAAAAAACAAATTAACTGAGACTTGAGACCAAAATCTATAAAGGACTTGATTATTTGTATTATTCAGCATCAAAAACTTTCAGCAAAGTTCAATAGCATCGGAATACTGGAGAGAAATAGAATCTCAAATTTCTAGAAACAGAATCCTGGGCAACTTCTTCCCCCTTCTTTTTATTTTATTTGATAAGGTAATTTCTTCCCCTTTCTTAAGTCCAAATTAGAATTCATGGTTAGTCCCCCAAGGATTCCAACTAATACAATCACTCATTATGACAAGAACTATGTTAGAATTGATCCTCATTACTGCGCATCAAACCGTCATGTAGAAGCTAACCATTCAATTGTTGCTCATCCGAACACAGAGCAACCAAGTGAAAAGCAAATGAGAGCACAAAGCCCATATGTCAGTGATTTCTCGTCCATCTACACCTAACAAATAGGTCTAAAGATTTCCTAAAGCACTTGTGCCTAAAGTTAAATTGTAATCCAAGGCACTTGAGCCGGTGAAGAGCTGTGTGCTCCTCAATCTTCAACTGATAGTTAAGCCGGACTGCATGACACCATGCCCATTCTATAATTATATCAGGCATATGTTACATTCTTAGTCCTAGCAATATTAGTCCTAGCAATATTTACCAAAAAAAATGAGTGTCGACACTGAATAATCTAATGCCTCACAAAATGAAGAGATAATTACATGACAGTTCCAAAACAGAAATGAAAAAAAGAATATGCCTTCAACAGACTATTGCATTGGAAGAGCCACTAAATGGTCATCTAGAACAAAGACAGGCATAGCTACGCACACAATTTAACATGGTATCAGAGCAAAAAAAAGGTTATGAATTCGGGTCTCCCTGCCACCAATCATAAAAAGATATCCACGATTTCTGCAAACGAAAAAGAATATGGCCCGCAAAAATAACGGTGCGTGTAAAGACTTAACTAAATTAAGAAAATTGTTCTTAACTAAATTAAGAAAATTGTTTATTCTCTAATATTTTAAACTTACAGATGGGGGGTAACGCATTTCAATACAAGTAAATAAGAATCGGAAAGAAGTTTCACCAGCTTGGCCTTTATGCTTAGTTGATTCAAGACCCGGAATTATTGATCTCAAAATGCTGACAGCATCAGCCTCCAAGCTTGGCCCACTACTCATTACAGATTGCATTCTAATACTCTGAAAATTAAAGTCCTTTTTCTCAGCAGAACCTCCCAAACACCTTATCAAGAACTGCTGCCTTCTGATGACAGCCGCAGAGTAAGCCAGCTTTAAATTATCTGCCAATGGAAGTTCAATTAATACCAGACCATCTAGAGGTAATATTCATTTATTTAATACACAATCCAAAAATTTATCATCTTTGAGGTATTAAACCCCACGCTATGGCAAAGCAAAAAGCGATGAGATTATATAAGTAATGTTCTTGCATTTATTACTATCTCCGCCTCTCTAGTCTCTGCCCTTCTCCATTCAAAAACCGGGCTTTCTGTTTGCATTAGGATTTGAATCCGTGATGTGAGCCTAACACACATCACGTTTGCACTCTTACCACTAGACCGAAGCTCCCACAGGCACATCCTCTCCGTCAAAACAATTACATTATTTACTAATTTGAATGAAACTTGACTTGTAAGTTCTTATCCAAAATTGACGAAATAAAATGAAAAAGATTCCAATTTCATGCCTGAATCCAAACTAGTTGGTGCAGCTATATGAATGTTCTATATCCATTCTGCTCTATTCGGGTCCATCTCATTCCATTTCCAGAATTTTCTATCTATTAATGGAAAATGCTCTGAAAATTTGAAAGAAATATGCAATTGATATTTGAAATTGATTACTCTACTTGAAAAATTGAGAATTGATGGTAAATATGAAATGGGTTATGTGTACTTACCTCTGTCTGAGCTTCAGCAAAAGTGTTCTTATGTTGGCTCTCCGGAAACTTTGATGGTTTTGGTTTTATTGTTAAATCTCATTCAGCCCCTGATAAGATATAAAACTTCTAATTATATCCCTCTAAAATTCTTACTGAGAGGGATTTCCCCCTTTATCTTTTTCATTTGTGAAGAGTCTATAGATGGAGTGGGTTTTCTGTTTTTTTTTTTCTTTTTCCTCCTAACTAACTTCCTTGTTACTTACAGTGAGATTTAACTATTCCAAAATTTGGCCAAGGATTCTATTTATCTTTTTTCTCCTTTTATTGACTTTTCTCTACTTTTTTATTTATTTAATAATAAGAATAAATGTTATTGTAGTTATAAAAATAAATGTGTCATTTATTACTACACTAATTCATATTCCTTACCGTTAGAAAATTAAGAAGTCCCAATATTTAAGTGCCTCAATTATTATTACAACTTTTCATATTCCTTATGGATCATTTTATAAGCTGCCCAAAAATTAATTTACTCAAAGTTATGGAAGCTGATTTAAGCCTTAAATTTTGAGGTAAGTTTACATGTCTCTGTCTCTGTAACTGAGTTGATGCATTTTAATTAATAGCTATGTAAACTGATGTTCTTTTGGCACTTTTTTTTTCTTCTTCTTTTTGTTTATGTAAAGATAGCATGATGAAGAATTTGTTTGTGTTCTTCGGCCTCTTCATGACCCCAGTACTTTGGTAAGCCTTGATTTATTACTTGTAAGGAAGAATATATATATATATATATATATATTATTCTCACATGTTATTTTTCTTTTTATTTGTTTCAACAATATATGCTTTTTAACTATGAGACTACTTTTGTCATGTGTTTTTTCTTTCAATTTGGATCACAAAAATGTGATATTCAGATAGTTCCAGGATCAGTTTCAAGGAACACTCATTCCAATTTAGAAGTTCCGAACTTCTACAGCATATCAAGACCAACAAAATTACTCATGTGTCGATAAAGGTATGTTTACTTAAACTATAAAAATATTTTCTCTTTTTTCTGCTTTATTTCAGGGTCACATAAAATCACATAATTTAATTTTAGGTGTTCGAGGGTAAGGCATCTAAGCATTTAAGCTTTTCAAATTAAAGTAACAGCTTAGTGTAAGTGTATTCCTGATTTGTGCTTGTAGGGAAGTACAATAATAAAAAAAAGATAAATAGAATTTAATTTGATTGAGTGCTTTTACGCTTTTCTATTTAATTTCTCTAACCTTAATACGTCACATTCTTATTTTGTCTTTCGATCTTTGTTATTGATTAATTTCTTCATTGTTATGGCTAACTAATTTTTCTTACTTTTTATTTTTGTTTGCAGTTCAACTCTTTATAGAACTAAGAGCAGCGTCTATATTATTATTTAGTTTTTAAATTTTTGGAGAATTTATTATCCCTTGAAAAATAAATTTGATAGTCGAATTGAATTCGGGTCGATCAAAGATCGACTTCCAATAATTTTGAGAAATAAAACTAGGCATTTTATAAATATGAAACACATTGTTATCTTGGCTAGATGCTTCGGTCTGTAAGGTGGTTGTGCGGGAAATATGAATAAATCTGGCTCACGTTGTAAAGAAGGTTATCTGTTAGTTACTTTTTTAAAAAATTATTATTAAATGTTGATCGAATTTATACTGAAGTCAAACTAATAACTCTAAGTGAACAAGAAAAGAAAAAATTAAATTAGTAAAATATCAGTCAGATTGCATGAAATTTTTTTCATAGAAAGTCAAAAGTATCATTTTAAAAATTCAATGATGATGTTATTCATGCCTGCGCGAAGCACGACCAATTTCACTAGTTATGATATATAATTGGTTATCTTATTTGTGTCTCAATTTTTCAAGTTTAAATTAGTTAGAGGTCTTTTCATGAGAAGTGATAATTTCTTATTGGCCGCAATTTCTATGCTACTGCGTATAATTAATCTATACTATATTAAAAGCACGAATGCCCTTAGCGAAACATTGTTCGCCTTTTGTATCTTTTAAAAAGAAATTCACACTAGACAAAATAGTCATTTAATTATGTTCCTAATATTTAGGAGTTCTAAATCAACTAAAATTTGTGAAAATAGCATGCGCTAGCCAATTTTCGGACTGATAATTGAAAAATAGTCAGCATTTGCAAAGTTATTGAAAATAACCACTATTTTGCTACAACATGGAAAGGTACAACATAATATACTAGAGATTAGTGCACTTGTATATGAACTTCTAGCATATTATGTTTGAACTCCAGCATACGGAAAGTTCCAGCATAATTACTGGAGATTGGAGCATCTGTGTATGAACTTCCAGCATATTATGCTAGACCAGTATATTATGCTGGAAGTTCATATGTAAAAAATTCGAACTCCAATATATTATGCTGAAATATTTTTCAGATTTTGAACAGTGTTTTCGTTCAGATTTATCTTTACATGAAAAGTAGTTAAATTTCGATTACTTTTGAAACTATAGCTATTTTTCAATTACCACTTGTAAATTTAGCTATTTTTTAATCTCACCCCTAAAATTTAGCATATTAAATATTCCTTGTTTGAACTTCTATATGATGAGGCCTAACAAAAAGGGATCAAAATGGTTCCAAACCTCCCTAGCAAGCTCACTCTTGATAAAGAGGTGTGATCAATACTTTATTTATCATGCTCTGAAGAGCACAAGCATTTGCTTGCTAATCTTATACCTTTTATCTGAATTTATTCCCCTAACTGATCCTGAAATCCCCGCATACAAAGTCAAATAAGAACTTCCACGCAATTAATTATTATAGCATGTAGGAATGAAAAAACTAAACAAAATATTTCCTTTATTAAGAAAAAGAAAAGCCAAGGCTTAGAATTGGTAGTAATTGCTTCGTTAACCTATGAAAATTTTCATTTTTTATGTCCTAATTTTAGTATAATAATATTCAGCTTTCAAATAATTTTTTCCATCTATATTTACTTCTACCAAAGTAAGAAAATACACAAGAAGCTCAAACAATTAATATTCTTTAATTACAATTAGTGCAAAAAAATTTAAGCAAAATTGTAATTATAAATAATCTTTTATAACATTATTTTATGTATGTTTTATTAGGATACTAAGTATGAAAACCTAATCAAAGTTGGCAATATAACACTCGAGAAGTAAATGAATTTGAATAGATTACATTTTCTAATTTCTCATATTCTCCTATGAGAATACACGTCATACTTATTTTTGAAATTCTATTTACAGTTAAGTTCTAGTTTTTAGATGTTATTTTTGTACTTGCAAAGTACTTTGATCAATGATAATATAAATTACTAAAAAGATATTTAAGAATATAAAAGACAAAGAGAGAAAAAAAATGGTTGACAATTCTATCAACACAAAAATTCAAAATTGAAATATTAGATTAACTTTTTATTTTCAACGATGCAAAAATTTTATATGGATAAAATTATAATAGCAGTTAAATATTTAAACTATGAATAAGCTAATATATGAAGAACTTGAATGAATAAAAAACAAGCTATTTCCTTTAATGCTAAGAACAGTAATTGAATTTTTGAATCACGAATTAGCAAAAGAATTTAATTTAATTATATTTGAAATTCATCATATAAGTAAATTAGTTCTCAAACTAACAAAAATCTTAGGGGTATATCAATGTATCTTCATAAAAAAAGCATTAGCGGTGAAAAAATTGGATAAAATAGTTAAAATTAGTATTAAGAATCAAATTAGTAAAGAAAAACTTAAAGAATAAAATAAAGGAAGACAAAATATATATTCTAAATAAGTTGTCATGAATTATTATTATAATTATTATTTGCATTTATTTCAAAACAGACAACTTCTACAATTTTTAAATATTAAGTTAATAGTAGTAAAATAGTAACTCAACCACAGTTGTTTTTAGACTTTATATTGTCATTTAAGAATTTTTTTTCTATGAGCTTTAAAGCCAACCTCATCATTTTTAAAGACCTAAAAGATTCAATTATTTAATTTATCTTTGTTAATAAAAGTAGTGTATGTTATTTGTTTGTTTTTAGTATTATGCTATAGAAATAACAATAATTTTCATTCGATACTCCTATAGAAATTCTCAAAAATCACAATAAGTTATATGAGGATTTCTATTGGCAAAATTTCTTCATTTATTGAGCTAATAAAATGAGATCATCAGTCATCATTTTTAAGAACTTGCATTTTTTCTTTAATTTTAATTTTATAAGTCAAATATATTATTTAATAATATTTATATTAATTTTTAAAATTCGTACGTAAAAATATGCAAAATAGATAGGATTCCACCCTAAGCTGCAAAAAGTTAAATAATAAAATACTTCAACTGAAGTAGGGGAACCCATTGATTAGACATACAAAAATTGGTCTATATATTCTTTTTATTTTATTTTCACTCAACTTTTATCTATATATCTATATATATGTATATTAATAAAGCTGGGCAATAATAGATTACTGGCGTGGCAGGCCTCACATGCCAGGGAATGCATTTATCTTTTATCTCATTTTTTTTGGTTTTCTTCTCTCATTTTAATATAATAACCAATTACTCCATTACATTAAAAAATTAGTCTTGTACTGTAACTCCTTAATAAATTGGGAAAGAGGGAGAAAGGTGTCGTTTCAAACTTTTACCAAATGCCTAAAACCTTTGGCCTTTCAGTTTCTCCAGTTTTAGAGGGGCAGGGTATTGATCTTATATATGGAGAACGTCTTCAAGCAAACATCTTATTACTTCCATAAGGATTCTACTCCATCTTTGTCACCACTAATGTTGGTAAGAACTCGCGTTGTTTTATGTTTACTTTGAATATATTATAATGGTAACTCACGATTATTTTCAATATATTCTTCATTCCCATGTTTCTGAGTGGATAACTACGTTGTGCAAATTCAGAAGGTCCACAAAATTTAATATCTCTGAATTTCGATGCCTCGAAGTTAAGAAATTTTGTGCCCAAGTGAGTTTACAAGGATTGGAGGAAGGTATGTCATGATTTTTAGAGTCGGCTATTTAACTTTTTATTGCTAAGAGAATGTTGATGTAGAATTTCATGAAATACAATATTGCATTTGCAATCAATTCTGGGTATTGATTGAAAAATATATCCTTAAGGAGAAATTTGTTTTATGATTTAAGAAGGGAAGAAGTTGTTGACAGGCTTGGGAGGAAGACGGAAGCTGAGGTTAAAGGAATAAAAAATTGGTATTATCATTAACTTTTTTCTACTTCTTTTTATTTCTGATTCTTCTTTCATTTTCCTGAAAGTGTCTTTTTTGTTTTATTTTTTGCATTTTCTAATATATAGAAGAGGCTTGGAAGTAGCTGGGCGTTGTCTTGCCAGCTTGCCAACCAAGGCCTCTTCCTGTCATTTCATGTGTAACTTTTTTAAAGTCATTGATCATTTAAATATTGTTGTGAGTTTTGATTGGTCCAATAAGTTGATAACTATACTAACTTTAGTAGATTTTGACTGTGGAGACTTTTTAGCCCTTTGAGGCAACAATATTAAGTTTTTAGTAGGTCCATCTTTGCGACTGACAATTCCATTTCCATAGCTAATTTTTTGTATATAAGTTGCCCATTAGTATTTATATATTTCTGAGCAGACAAATTTTTCATTTTTAACTCCTTCAACCAATTATCTATTAGCGCAAAATTTAAAATGTGCCTGCCATTATTAGCCTTCATTTGTTCTGCTTTAATTTCAATGCGGCGCATCATACAAATTAAAAAAATGATTTTAAACAGTATATATCTATGTCTACTTCTAAAGTTTAGAGCTGCCGGTATCAAACTATTTAAAAATTATCAATGGACTATATTTTTATATCATAAATTGCAATTGTATATTATGACAATTGATTTTTATAAATATTCTCTAGGATTAATGATGTATATCATAAGCTATAATTATTTTATGTGGTAATTCATTTTTTACTTGAAATTGTTTTGCACAAAAATTATAGCAGATTTAACTTATGTCAACGAAGACTTTATTTTTTTCAATAACAAAATCTTTACAGGAAAAAATTTGTCAAATCATCTTCTTGTAATGTGCATTTACTATGGTTAACTTGGAAATTTCTATTCTAAAAGCTCTTAATATAGTGATTGTTAATAAAACACTTGCACAATATTTTGTGAAGTATTTAAGTTGATTTAATCAAGTTGAAGAAGAATAATTTGTAAAAAAAGTATTCTATTTTCCTGGTCATATTTTTTGTTTAATTTTCTATTACAAAGTTAAATTTTATTTGAAGGTATTTCTATTTATTCAAAATTTTCTCAAAAAGTTTCCAAAGGTCTGTGAAGAATAAAGAAGGGAGAAAATAAATGAAAATAGAAACCAATATTTACTTTACAATTACTAACGTGTATATATAAACTAAGCCTACTTTCTAAAAAACTCAAACGTAAATAAGATAAATGAAGCACACAAAAGGTATTAAAAGTTCACTGCTTGTAACTACGCTCAAGTAAGGAAGAAATTGAAAAATAGCCAGATTTACAAGTGATCATTCAAAAATAGCCACAGTTTCAAAAGTAATCAAAATTTAGCCACTTTTCATGTAAAGATAAATTTGAATGAAAACACTGTTCAAAATCCGAAAAAATACTCCAGCATAATATACTGAAGTTCCAGTATAATATACCGATCCAACATAATATACTGGAGTTTGGAGCACCGGTGCTCCAGTCTCCAATGTATTATACTGGAGCCAGTAAAGTATACCGGTGTAGCATAATATGCTGGAAGTTCATATACAGGTGCAACAAACTCCAGTATATTATGCTGGACCGGTCTCTGTTGCAGCAAAATATGGCAAACGCTAACTATTTTTGAATGACCAGTCCAAAAACTGGCTTGACCGTGCTATTTTAACCTCAAGTAAGCAAGATAAAGCTAATGGAGAAAAATAACTTTTTAAAATACCAAAAAAATGAGAATGATCCTTGCATATTTGCAAGGTTAATTATTATTTTTTAAATATCCATCGAGCGTCAAATTGAAATAACAAAACTTAATAAAAATATTATAATTAAATTATATCATTCAAGCATATTTTTTAACTACTTTTTAGAAAAATTTATTAACAAAATTAAAATTGGATATTCGTCAGAGAGCTTTGTGTTTATTTTCTCACGTTTGTGCATCTTATTTTCTCTTAATTTTACCTTAAAATTCTAATAAGTTGACAATATAGAAATACATATTTGCTTTATGATTACGTTTTTACTCCAAAACTAAAAAGAAAAAACTTTGAACTCTATTAACTGAATTTGAAATACACAACTAATTATAATAAATCATAAATTAATGAGTAGGAAATAAATAAACTTTGACAAAATTTTACATTGTTGGGCCCAAAGACAATTTGCTCAATCTAATATATAGAAGAGCCTCGGAAGCAGCTGGCCGTTGTCTACAAATGGGCCCCAATTGCATTTCCTTTTGACACATACACAAAGTACATCCTCTGACCTGTGGGACCTACTTAGTAATAGCCAAATTCTTAATTTCATCTAACCTTTTCTTTAACCTGTTCATTCACCAAATTAAACGTCGTGCCACTTTTTCTTTCTTCTAAATTTTATAACTCATGGGCTTTGTGATTTTATAAAATAGCAGGCATTTGTTTTAGTATTAATAGGAAAAAACATCAATCTTTACTTTATAATCAATACCAAATTTAATAGTCAAACGGAGGTAAATCGAATAATTCATAACAGCTTTATCCTTAAATTTCACATTCTTTATCTAATCCAGCTTAAAAAAAGGAATAAAGACGTTGTACTCCATATGTCCAAAAAGATAATATTTTCCGAAATTAAGAGTCAAACTTCTTAACTTTGACCATGAATTCGGAATAAAATTTTTAAGTTTTTTAAAATAAAAACTATATATTTAAAAATTACGTAAATGCATTATAAGTCATAATAATTAACTTCAAAAATTACGTAAAAGTATTATAAGTCATAATAGTTAACAATTCAAAATATTTAAAAGGTACAAATTAAGAAGATATTAATTTGTTTTCAAAGTTACATGTGTTGTCTAATAAATGATATAATAATCATTTTCCATGCTTGGTTGAATTTACTAAGAGAGATAAATAATAATTCTGTCAAATAATCTTATTAGTAATGTTATTAATTGAATTTCTACACGAGTGCAAAAATTTAAGGAGAAGAATTAATCTAAATAGTCGCTAATCAATTCGCTTAAACAAAGAAATTCAGGAATTTCCCACGTTAATTATGCTATAATTAAATATGCTATAATTATGTAATCATATTCCCACGTTGGATACTAGATATGGTGAAAATGAAAAACGAAGTCCATCAATTTGAGCGTCTAATAAATGGGAGGTAAATAACATTTATTTGTAACAATGTAAACTTAAATTTTGTAAATGCAATAACATAATATTCGAATATACATATAGTCATTCTTTGTATGATTTATCTGGTAATACTCCTTTATATAATTCATTTCTAAGTTGTGCTTGCTCATACTTCAAATATTCTATCCGCATTTGTGCGATTCTTGTATACATCTCATCCATGGAGGGTTCAGGTTGTTTTTCTACCTCTGTAACAAAAGACGAATTGTAGTTTTAATATAGCTAAGAATAGTAAAGTAATAAAATTATTTAATTTAGCAAAAATAATTTACCTTGACAATTATTCAAGGAAGTTTGATGTCGTTGATCTATAATCTGTTTATCCATTGTAGAAATCCTATATAATGTAAGACAAATTTTAGTGTGCAGATATAAGCGTATCATGAATTATATTATTAATGTATATTTAATATAGATCTCTATAATTATGTATTATTTTATATGCTTAAATCTTTATGCTACTTTAGAGACAAAAGTATTTGTGCAAAGGAATGTGATTTGTGTAGAACAATGGAAGAATAATGTATAGTTTAGGAATAAACCTGATGTTTAAAAACTGCTCCTCTTCGTGGTTGTGTTATGTTTTGTGTTATTTTGAATCATCCTCACATCTTCCTTGTATGGTGTATTTCTTGAATTTATAGGGGTAAATTGAATGTTTGTTTGAATCGCTGGAGATCTTGAAAAAAGGTGTGTATCAACAATTTGAATGAGAATAGGAGGATGATTAGGGATTTATTTTATTTTTTTAATAGGAAAGAGCCGTTAGTGATTTGGTGGAATAATAAAAGAATAGGAAGGTAAAGAGGAAAATGAGAGAATAGGTGTATAAAAAGATAAATAATAAATAAGAAAGAACATACATTAAAGCGAAATCTTTTTCGGAATCTCACCAATGTAAAATTCATAAAAACAGGACAATATTCATCAATCAGTCGATTATTTCTAAAACTCTTTTAATGTTATAATTACCGTTTTGTATTATAGATGGCCGTAAAGTATTAAGACCAACATAAGAAAAGTTAAATTTTGTAACTAAAAGTACCTCAGCGAAAACTCAACCAGCTGACCACATATGAATTGCATTTGTGTATTATGTAGCCCTAAAGATCAATTCATGCGTCCTGTAATAGCGAGATCAAATGTAGGTATATTGGGCTCCACCGACACCTATGGTAATTGAAAAAAATTCTGAGTAGATGCAAACACATATAAAAAATATAGTTCTCAAAAAACAACACGTACCAACATCTTTGCACTTCCAAAAGCACAAATCTTTAATTGTTTAAATAGAGGTTTAAAAAAATTAGTGTCGAACTTGCTTTTGATGCAATAAGAGATTACTACCTGTGAACCAATTCAACAATTATCGAGATGGATAATTCCGTTTCACAAGGCTTAATATGGTATATGAATGCTTATTATACCTATAGAAATAAACATACATAACTGAATCTTATATTCGTACTCTATTAACAAAGGGTTAAATAATCCTCTTTCTTTTATGTTTTTGTCATTTTTTTATTGAACTGGGAGATCGGTAAAGGAGTAGGGCCTATAAAAATAGTAAAAAATAAACTCATACATATTATGTGGCGTTGATAAAAGAAAAGACGTAAATGTTTTGAGATGAAAAGACACGAAGAGAATCTGTGTATAAAAGTATAAGAATCATGAAGGTACCTTTTCGTCAATAAATATCATATCCAAGCCAATCAACTCTCTGTTTTTCTTGGAATTAAAAGAATCCCACATTCTGTAAATTCTAACCCTTATCAACCAATTATCCCTATGAAGAGCTAACTCTGAAAGAAAAGAGTATGTCATTCTAAGAAAATAATGAAAAGCAAGAGAAAGCAAGCTAGTTACAGTATGAACAACATTCAT